GGCGACGGGCCGGGGCGGCTCGAAGCCGCAGGTAGAGGCGGCGCGAAGCCGCGGGAAGGGCGGCGACGGGCCTGGGCGGCGCGAAGCCGCAGATAGGGGCGGCGCGAAGCCGCCGGTGAGGGCGGCGCAAAGCCGCGGGTAAGGGCGGCGACGGGCCGGGAAAAGGGCGGCGCGCCGCAGCCGCTAGGGCGGCTCGACGCGACCGTAAGGGCGGCGCGACGGGCCGCTAGGTGCGACTCGACGGGCCGCTAAAAAAAAAGGCAGGCGCGACTCGAGGCGCGCTTCGGTGGGCCCAAGGAACAGTCCCTAGGAGGGGACCTGCTCTGATTCCATGTGAGAATGAGAACGAGAATGGGTGAACTATGAAAATGAAGTGAGTACAAATATGAAACCCTAATTGGTTGTACCCCCTATGGGATACCCCACTATAGCCTACACAACAGCATAAGCTATAATGTTCTGACACCTTCCTCTTGCGACGGTGGCTCGTAGGCGCGTGGCGACGTCACGATGACTCGCCACCAGTCCATGGCGGGGCCCCTTAACAGCGAAACGGCATACCGAATCTTCGCTGCGTCCGACTCGACGTAATTCGCGTCGAAGAAGACGTTCATCGTGAAAACCCACGATTGAACCGTCGGACCTCCACGCTGGCTCGGGTCGAAACAGGGCGGGCGTTGCGGCTTGAGTGGCATTGGTGCCATGATGGCCTGTTCGCCACTTGTCGCCGCGAACTCCACGTGCCGACGGGCTTCGCGAGGCTCCCGCGGGCTTGGCGCGCCCCTGTTTCCTCCCATGCCAGGCATTGGTTGGGCGGCGCTATCACTAGCTGCGCCCGAGCGCTGTCCCACGCTGTCGTGTTGTGTTGGTGTCCCGGACGAGATGACGATTGGCTCGTCCGATTGTGCAGGTGCATTTGTTGGTGCGTGTAGTGCTGCTGGAGTGTTCACCGTTGATTGCTGACGCGCGGAGTCACGTTCCGCTGTGAGCATCGCAATTTCGAGCGCCGAATCTTCGAGTTGGCGCACCAGACGGTCGAGCTGCTCCTGCGTCAATGTGGCGAGCGTGAATTCGGCCATGGCGGGGGTGTCGGGCGAGCTCAGCGAGAGCCTCAGTCGTGGCCGTGCGTGCTTACGAGAGAGCACTACGAGCGGCGGTGCTGTGTCGCTGAGAGACGTCTACCCCCCCAAAAAATTGAGATAGTGGGGAAGCGAAGGTGTGGGTGCGGTCCGAGAAGAGGTCGTAGGCTCTGAATACCAAGTGTTACGAGTGCAATTGAGTGAACGAACGAGAATTGCACTATCGAAGCAAGAGTACAATGAGCGAAGGCATGAGCGAAGAATATATAGCGAAACTACAGTGGTAACGGTAATGGACTGTGGTTGTCGCGCGACGGGCCTGGGACTGAGGTTGGGAAAAGTGTCGAAGCGGAGGCCCGGAGCGCGGGTTACCCGCCGAGCCGTGAGGTCGAGGTGCGACGTGTGAAGGTGGCGGGCGGATTGTCGATGCGAGGATTGCGAGTGGTAACGGTGCTGAATGTGGTGCTACAGTGATGTACGCGTTGAACAGGGACACGAAGTAAGGAAAAAGAGATTTTCCTTACACAAAGCAAACCCCGTAATCGCACAGTGACTGGCACTTACAATGAACAGTTGTAACGTCCTGCAAACAACAGGTGTTTCTCCTTTTCTACACTAGCAAGGGAATGATCCTTTATCAATTACACTTTCACTACGTTTTGAAACCAAATATCTCCATCAGACAGCAGCACCATCGTATTACTGTCACATTTCGATTTAAAAAACATTTATATAGTTTTTTATCACGTTGTACCCTCTATCATATACCATATAAGTATAAAAACTGAGAGAATGTTTCTACATGGTATTGTAAACTGTGTTTTGAATCCTTTATTGTCTTTATGGAAATCATAGGAAATGTTATGTGTGGCATCACGTACCGTATGTTGCATTGGCAATAGAGATGTTTTCCTAGAACATTTTCCTTACACTTCATTTCGTGGCAGATTTGTATCGCACTTTCTAACACCCGATTTCAGTGTTTTTTTCCGTGGCATCCGAGGTGGCGGCGGCAAAGTTTGGCCTGCAAAGTTTCGCACATGCGAAGCATGTCTGACACTGTAACCAGAGCTGCGTCACGACACGAGCAAAACCCTAAACGTTCGGCCTTTCTGTTGTTGATGTTTGCTTGGTTCAGGAGGATTGATCGAGGCTCAACCACGCCTGTGATTGGGTGCTTGCTTCCGCCAAATCCCCGTTATGGCTCGATAGCCCACACATGATCCATACTTCTTTGCCCGTCGGTCAGGGGCTGCCCGTAAATTAGAAAGGTGTTTCGGGAGAACGCGTGATCAGCACGAAGCTGACATCATACAGCAGAAAGACCCGTCACTTTGGCGATCGCAAACGTCGCGGTCAGTGAAATGGCTATCAGAAACTTACCGTCTGACCGACATCTTCCAGACAAGGTCAGGTCACCATCGTATCGCCACATGCTTTCCCAAGACCTCCGCAAAACGGTCCCCCGAACCTTTTCCGCACCACGCGCTCCCTTTCGCGGTTCAGTTGCTCCGCCGAGTAATTCCTGCTCTCAGCACGGCGGAACGCGCGGGGCACTGTCTAGCGCCAGCAGGGCGGAGATGACTGACAGAGCATGACGGAGAGCGAACAAAGATAGCCGAACAGCAGTGCTGTGCTGAGCAAGCCAAAGCAGTGGGAGCGTTTGGGAAGAATCTAGGTTTTCTTTGGCTGGTGCTGTGTGGCTCCCTTGTTGCCATTGCAACAACCCTAGAGAACCTCGGGAACCTCACGGTCCGTAATTCGCGGCATTGCAACCTCAACCTTTGTGTCTGCACAGTAAGAGCACGTTCGATTTAGGATAATTGCTGCTGCGTGCTAGCTCTGTGCAGGCGGCATTCTTCGTAGAACTGATTGATTAGTTCGAAGTTGGTCTCCTGAAACCGAATCCTGTTTATCGTGTCCTTCCAGACGACCTTTTAGGTTCCGTGTTTTTCTCCGTCGTTAAGCTTAGGACGACCACACCGTGTTGCCTGACTAACTCTTCGCTAACAACAGCACTTTTGTATCTCGCTTCTTGCTGCAGCCTTTCCTGCAAGTTCTATCGCGAAAATGCCGCCGCCAGTCGCGCCCGCCGTGCCAGCCGCGGGTCATTCTCTGCATGATATCGAGGGAGTTTGTGACTATTGCGGGGAGCCGTGCGATAGTACGCAGGACGAGCTTAACGCGCTTTCGTGCACGTTCGAAGGATGCGCGAGCTCAGGCGTGTACCATCAACACTGCATCGAGGCGTTTTTAAAGAGCATCCGTCTGGACAAGTATGGTTCTTAAAACTCACGCCTTTAGTTACCTCCTCGCTGCAGCCGGTTCTGGTCAGAAAATGGTAGATCGATAGATGGGATGAATTTTTGCAGTAGCTGTGAAAAATCACTGTAGTTACAGGGTAGAAACTTCCGAATAGAAACCACGCTTCCTCCGGGGTCAATGCTTTTTCCAGTTTCGCCTTCTTTTGAATGTCCTCCAAGGTTGTAAGGATAGCGTTCCGTCTCTCTCCGTCAAGTTCTTTGGCGCTCAACGGGAAGTATTTGAGCGCATCGTGCTGGCGTGGTTTAGAATCCTCTTGTTGATCCTCTTTGATTTAGTTTCAAGTTTTCCATCTCGGCTCACTAAGGGATGTTACAAGCTGTGCAGCAAGCATTAGGCGATTCCAACGTATAACAGTATATAGCAACCAGTTATCTGGTATCTGAAGGCCAATTCTTGGCGACGCAGCAATTGTCTTGGAAAAAACTTCGAAATATGAAGAATCGCTACTTTAAACTTAACACCATCTATCTCAAGCGTCTAGTAGCCTCCGTAGTTCATCCATCCTTTTCATAACTCCGCGTATTCCTCTACTTTGTTTTTGTTTCCACCAATCCTTTAATCACCCCGTGATGACCTCACCATGACAATTCTTACGTGTCCTTTCGCCTTTGCTCATTGTAACGCAGGCAACGAAAGACGGGCTTCCAATGTCCACGTGGCAATGGCAAAGCGACGAAGTTCGACAAGCCGTGTCCTGGACGTGTAGGTTTCTCCTTACATTTTTCTTTCTTGCCATGGATCGCACCCTGTATGTTCTTGTTTTTTCGTAGCCTTTTTTTTCACTAAACTAGTTTCACGAATTAGCGTCAGGCGATCTTGTTCTTTGTTTATCTTCACCTTCTTCTTGGACCGAGTGTTGATTTTCTTTTTTTTTCATGGCTCATGCACTCATCTGCGTGCTCTCCTTCATTTGCTAATACCAATACCCTTCCCTCCATGCGTGTTCCGTTGTTCCACTCCTCCATCTCTTTCATCTGATACCTCATGCGTCTCTTGCCTCGTGCGGCTAATGCCTTCGTCATGCCTTGTGTCTCGTGTCTTTCATCCGTTTGCTCATCCCCCCGGCTCTCCTTGCGTTTCCCTCTCATCGTGGCATTCCTGTGTTTCCAGATCACCAAGTCCCACCCGATTCATGCTCGGAACGAAAACAGGTGCAACATCTCCTTGCACACCCTTTCCTTCCTTTCTCCCCCGCATCCGCGCGTTTCAAACGCCGCAACTAAGTTATTCTGCAAGCAAATGCGTGCGGATGCGTTCATTTTCCGTCGTTTCTGCCTGCGCTGTGTTCCTGTCCACTAGAAACTTTGTGCGAGAAAAGTTGTGCGTAGCTTTCCCGTTTGCCTCCCTGCTTTCCTTATTATTTCGTGTTCATGGCCCATCTCCTCGACTCATCCCTCCTCCGCTTCAGCCGGCCCTGTAATTAGGCCTCGACTCATCCCTCCTCCGCTTCAGCCGGCCCTTTAATTAGGCATTCTAAGAAACACCGGCATACTAAGACATACAGTTCTTTGTTTCGTCACCTCTTTCACTTCTTCCTCCTGCGCTCCCTCCGTTCTCCCCTCTCTCCGTTGCAGCAAGAAGCGGCGAAAGGCCAAGATGCCCGAGCCTCCGCCAGCCCCTGTGGGAGCTGCGGCGAAGAAGGGCGGCAAAGGCAAGGACGACAAAAAAACCGACAGTAAAGCCAGCGACGGCAAAAAAGAAGGAAAAACCGGCGATAGCAAAAAGGACGGCAAGTCAGGCGATAGTAAAAAGGAGGGGAAAACAGGCGACGGCAGCAAGTCGAAAGGATCATTCTCCGTGCCCTCCTCGTCCTCCAAATCTTCCACCTCGTTACCCGCTGCTCCCGCGCCAAAGCCTACGGTCGCGCTGCTCGTGCGCTCGTCTCTGCCCCCCGCTGCCAAGGCTGCCGCATCCGTGGCTAAGTCCGCGTCTGGTGGGGCCGGCCCCACGTCCCCGTCGTCTAAAAGCGGGGGTATAGGCGCGCCTGGTGGGGGTAGTGGGAGTGGGGGAGTGCCGGTGAAGGTTTTGTCTAAGTCCTGGAGTGCTGCTGCTGCGGGGTTGAAGGATGCGGCAGCAGCAGCCGTTGGGGCTGTGAGCAGCAGCAGCAGTAGTGGTGGCGGTGGGAGTGGAGGGAGCGGGCCTGTGAATGCGTGGTCGTCGTCGCCTGGCATCGTGTCCGGACCGTCCAAAGGGAAGGCCTCGGAGGTGAGTTGTGTGAGCGTTGTTTCCTTAGCCATTAGGTTGTGTTGGGACCAGCGACAGTATCGGGGACAGTAGGGGTGGTGGGGGTGGCGGGAGCGGGCCCGTGATTGCGTGGTCGTCGTCGCCTGGCATCGTGTCCGGACCGTCCGAAGGAAAGGCCTCGTCGGAGGTGAGTTCTGCGAGCCTTGTCGCTCTTGCCGGGCCCTAGACTGTGGCACTAGCAGGAGCAGTGGCGGCAGTTATGGTGAGATTAGTGGCGACAGTAGTTGCAACGGTAGTTGCGATTGCAGTGGCGGGATTAGCCGCGAATAGTAGTGTCGCCAGCAGAGTAGTGACTACATTAGTGGCGACTGCATTGACGACATAACTGGAAGCGATAGCAGTGGCGGCATCAACGACGGAAGGAGAGGCGTCAGCAGTGGCGGCAGGAATGACGATAGTAGTGGCGAGGCGACGGTACTGGCGACGGCAGACAGAATAACTATAGTAGTTGCGACAGTAGTGGCGGCAGGAATGACGATAGTAGTGGCGACAGTGCTGACGACGGCAGACAGAATAATGATAGTAGTTGCAACTGTAGTGGCGGCAGTTGTGGCGACAATAGTTCCAACAGTATTATGATGGGCGGTAACGATGGCAGTGGTACCAGTAGTGGCAGTGAGCGCGGTAAGATTGGTGATGGCATTGCGAATGTGAATGCATTGTTCCCTTTGCCTGTCGTGGTGTCTGGACCGCCGCGTTCATTACCTGTTTGTACGTTTTTTCGTTTGGCAGAGCAAGGCGGAAAAGGTCTCGTCTCCAAAGGACTCCTCCTTGCAACAAGACGCCAGTACCGGAGGCAAGGCGTCTGACAAGCCTGGCGCAGGAGGAGCAGGAGGCGAGGAAAAGAGCAGGAAAGACAAGGCTGGGAGCAAGGCGGCGAGCCAAGAAGGGGAGGGGAAAGCGGAGAGTGGTAGTGGTGGTGGTAGTGGTAAGGGGAGTCAATCCAGACAGAAGAAGAAAGGCAAGGAGCAATCGGTTCCCGCACCAGCGGTGCCTGCTCCGGTAACCGCCGCCGTGCCTGCGAACTCGGTCTGGAAAGCCAAGCCTGCCGCGCTGCTGCTTCGGCCAGAGGCTGGGAAGGCGCAGGCACCGAGCCAACAGCAGGCGCAGCAGCAGAAGCAGCCACCGCAGCAGCAGGAACAGCAGCCGCAGCAGCAGGAACAGCAGCAGCAGGGGAAGCAGGCTGGAAGGGCGACAACAGAGTCGCAAGGGAAGTCAAATACCACTGTCACCTCCTCTTCTGTACCTCCGCCCATCAAAACCACGACCACCGTCTCCCCAGACCCCCCTGCCCCCTCTTCCTCCCACCTCCCGTCCTCCACTTCCCTCTCCGTCTGGACCAAGGAATCCTCCTCACTCCACTCCACCTCTCTCCACTCCTCCTCACCCTCCTCCCTCCACTCCTCTCTCCATCCCGCGCCCCCGTCCTCCTCCTCATCCTCCTCCTCCACACCAACTGAGTGCGAATTCTCAACGACCTCAGGGCTCTCCTCCCCCCCTTCCTCCTTCCCCTCCACTCCCCGCGCCATGGCCAGCCTCTCCCCCTCCGCCAGCATTGGCAGTTGCGCCGACCACCTCCCTGCCGAGCCTGTCACCGAGCCTGCCTCCAGCCCAGCAGAGCCGGCTGGCGAGCCCAGCGTCGTGGGTTCGGAAGCGCCGTTGAGTGGGGAGGGGAGTGGGAGCGGAAGGGCGGTTGGTGATGTGGGCGTGCAGGAGAGGTTGCGAGAGAAAGCAGATTTGCAGGTACAGCAGCAGCAGCAGTCTCAGCAACAGCAGCAGCAGCAGCAGCAGCCGCAGCAGCAGCCCCGGGATAAGCTGGTGGTTGCAGAGAGTGTTGCAGCAGCAGCAGGAGAGGCGAGCAAGGGCAGAAATGCATCAAATCTGGGCATGGGCTCAGTTTCCATTGATGCCGGTGCCGCTGCTGGTACCACCGCTGGTGTTTCTGCTGACAATGCGGCTGCCTCTCTGGGTGCCACCGCTGCTAGTGGTGCTGCAGATATGTCTGGTGCTGCAGCTGGAGGGAACACCGCCTCGGGTGGGCTGCGCCCGTGGAGTGATGCGTGCCGCTTCGCCCTGGAGACGAATCGCCGGCGAGTCTACGTGCACCAGCTGCAAGAGTAAGCGCTCGCTCCCTGCCACCACATGTAGTGAGTCAATTTTTTAGTCGACTCAAAAATCGCTTCGCCCTGGAGACGAATCGCCGGCGAGTCTACGTGCGCCAGCTGCAAGAGTAAGCGCTCGCTCCCTGCCACCACATGTAGTGAGTCAAATTTTTAGTCGACTCAAAAATCGCTTCGCCCTGGAGACGAATCGCCGGCGAGTCTACGTGCGCCAGCTGCAAGAGTAAGTGCTCCCTGTCACCTTTTGAGACGTCTCAAAACCGCGTGTAAGTAGACGACATTTGAGACGTCTCAAAAGCTTCGCCCTGGAGACGAATCGCCGGCGAGTCTACGTGTGCCAGCTGCAAGCGCTCGCTCCCTGCCACCTCATGTAGTGAGTCGATTTTTTAGTCGACTCAGAGATCGCTTCGCCCTGGAGACGAATCGCCGGCGAGTCCACGTGCGCCAGCTGCTTAAGTAAGCGCTCGCTCCCTGCCACCACACAAGTGATCACCATCTGTGGGGTTGGTAGGTAGGCAATGCCGATGCATGGAGGTGACCCGTGCTGTCTCTTCCCCACCCACAATCTTCACTTGTTTTCCTCCCTCACTATCTTCCTCTCCTCTCACTCTCTCTCTCTCGCTCTCTCTCTCTCTCTCTCTCTCTCTCTCTCTCTCTCTCTCTCTCTCTCTCTCTCTCTCTCTCTCTCCCAGGCTCGGATTCCCCTTGGGAGAGGCAGCGCAGGCAGTGCTGGTGCACGGGGGAGACCTGGGTGGCTGTCTCAACCACCTGCTCGTCTACCACGAGTGCTCCTGCCGCCCCTCTGCTCTCTCTGCTCTCACGCCCTCCCCATTCGTCGTGAGTTCACACCCTCCCCATCCATCTTTTAAGGCGCCTCTAAACTTTGCTCCTGCCGCCCCTCCGCCCTCTCTGCTTTCTCGCCCTCCCCGTCCATCGTCAACCCACTTCCTCTCCTGTCAGACTGTTGGTGTTAACATGTGCATGTTCCCCTATGTTTCCTGGCTGCTCTTGTTCTGATTTCTTACCGTCTTCGCTTGGTTGCTCATTCTCCGTGCCTGGTTATCTGTGTGACTCGCTCCTTGCCTTCAGGATATTTCCCTCGAGTTGCAAGCTCTCTCTGAGATCATGTCAGCGGGATCGCTGCCCCAGGTACAATCCCACACGCCCCTTGCTTCCCACACATCCTCACTGCTGATACACCGCTGTTTGTCTGCATATGATATTGGTCCGCTTTACCAGGAATTGTTGGAACATGCATTCATTGGTGCTCGCCTTTGGAGACATCAGCTACGCCCTGCGCCCCATCATCTCCTCCATCCTTCATTCCTCATATCCCTATTCTTGCGTGCATTGCCACGTATGTGTTGTGTTCACCCCACCAGGACCTGTTGGAACATGCGTTGGTGCTGGCCTCGGGAGACATCAGCTATGCCCTGCACCTCGTCATCTCCCATCCCCACGGCCTCCCCTCCTCACTCCCCTCCACCCAGCCCTTCCCCTTCTACTCCTCTCCCGTCCCCTCCACCACCACCAACACCGCAACCACCACCACCTCCTCCTCTACTCACTCCTCCCTTCCTCCTCCCCACCCTTTTCAGTCGAACCACTGCATACCGCACCAGACCACTGCCTTCCCTGTTGGTCCTTCTGACCCTGTCTTTGCCCATCTGTCCCGCTCCGCCTCCCCCTCCCCCTCCCCCTCGCCACCCTCTCCTCTCCCTGAATACACCATCCCATCTCCATCGCTCGTCATCCCCCTCTCGAATACCAACGCTGGCACCTACTCTCACAACCCTATAACCACACTCACTCCCACCACCACTTCCTCCTCTTCCTCCCTCCAGCACACATCTCTTCTCTCGGGAATTTGGTCTAGCTCATCGCCGAACCTTCCTTCTGCCGCCCATGCCAGTCCCGCACCTCCTCCTGGGTTCGGCCCGAGCCTCAATGCCGCTGCTGCTCCACTCGGTAACAGTGCCAGCTTCGGCACTCTCGAGGCTCGCAGTGGGAGTCCTGCCCCGAACATCATCCCGGGCAGCGGATGGAATTATAACGGCCTGCCCGAGTTGAAATCGCAGCAGCGTGTTGAGCCCGTGGGAGGGTGTGAAGCTGGCAGGAAAGTTTATGTGCCCGAGAGCATAGGCAGGTTGTGGGGGGCGTCAGCAGGAGCAGCAGCAGGCATGGCGGTACAGGACGATTCGCAGTGGTTGTATGGGGTGAACAGCGATAGGAGCAGCGGCACGACCAGTGGGCTCAGCAGCTGCAGCAATAGCAGCCACGGCTACTCGCAATATTCTGAAGAGGAGGGGCTTGGTGATTCGCTGTTGCTGCTACCAGGGGATGAGGAGGATCTTTTCTCCCGGATCCTCCCTGGTCTGCTGGGTTAAAATGCAGTGCTGTAGACCTTGTGCATCTGGCCCGGTTTTGTATAGCTGGGCCTAAATTTTGCTTGCTATATTTGAAGGGGAACTTGTAAACCCTAAACTGCTTGGAGGCTGCTGTTCACTCTGTATTTCTGGCTTGTGCGTTTCCGTTTAGGTCAACGATTGCGATTTTATCGTTGCTCACCATGTAAATTGTAGCGATGAACTCAGTGGCGAGGTTACGGTAATGCGATTTCCATGACCATCACCCAGCTTTGGTGACCTGCCGAAGCTCAGCAGCACCGCATAATGTACGCGCTAAGGCAATTTTTTGCCAAAGCGATTGTAATTTAAAGCCAGCAGCTATATAGTGACCCCCCCTTCTAGTTGGGTCCACTTGAAAACAGAAGTTTTTTTGGAACGCTTCGTAAAGTTGGAAGTGCTGTGCTTTTATATTTTTTTACTAGAGACGAGTCTCGGTGTGAACAAGAACATTTGGAACATGCGTACAGTTCTGATTGGAAGCGAAACTCACACATACTTGTATGCGATTTTGGCGCAAGGCTGCAATGCCTGTATGCACCCTGAGCAGTGATCGTAACTTCACCAAAACATCACATCAATCAAACACCAGGAAAAATCCAGCGCACACACACAAGCAGGAGATGAGAGTGGAGGTGGGCCAATGACCTGGCAGATCTGCGAGAAAAGGCGTTTCCCTGTATTTGAGAGGCTGAAAGAGGTTATAAAATAGTGAATCGAAGAACGAGGGGAAAAAATAAGTTGGACAAGGTATCACGAAAGGATAGTACGATTGAGATGGGGAGAGAGAGAAGAACAACGGGTTGGGGGGAGAGGAGGCGAACGTCGAGATGGGAGGCGAGAGGAGGAACGTGAGAGCGATGCCGACGGGAGGGAGAGCGCGCAGGCGACGGGACATGAGAGCGCGAAGGCGACGGGTGGGAGAAGAGACATGCGACAATAGGGAGAGCGCGAAGGCGACGACTGCATCGAGGGTGACGGGAGGGGAGGGGAGAAAAAGAGGTCGATAGGAAGGGAGGGTTTAGAACGAGGGTGACGAGAGGGAAGGGAAGCGGAGACTGCGAAGGCGATGTTAGAATCTAGTAGCAGGAATGAATTGACTAGATCAGGGTTTGGTACAAATATGAAACCCTAATGGGGTTGTACCCTATATTGGCTACCCCACTACAGGCTACACATATATGACATGCATATAATTTGACACACCCCCATAGGCAAAGTGGGGGAGAGCAAGGGGTCACAAGACCAGTCAAGAGAAGCAAAGCAAGCTTAGGGTGGATCACAACGTCACCACACACACTGAGCACAAGCAAAGGGCCACAAGGCCAGTTTACATGCAGAGGTATATATACAACAACAACAGCACAGTGATCTCTACCTACCAGGAGCAAGCATGCAGGTATATATATCTGTAGATCACAGTACAGGCAGAGCCTACAGCAAGTGAGGAAACGTAGGCACAAGGCCCAACAGAGTACAAAAGCGCTGATGATCACCAGGCGGAAGTGCCTTGGTGAATATATCAGCAGTGTTGGCCTGAGTGGCCACGTGAGCAAGACGAAGCTGACCACGGTGCTGCAACTCTCGAGCAAGGAAGTAACGCAGAGCGATGTGCTTCGTTCTGTGCTCCTGACACAAGGCAATGGCGGCCTTGTTGTCTACGTACAGAACTGCAGGAGAACGAGGCCGCTCTCCCAGGTCGGTCAGCAGGTAGGTGAGCCAGCGTAACTCCTGTGCAGCCATGGCTGTGGCGTAGATCTCAGCCTCACAACTGGAGCTGAGAACAGAAGACGGGCGTGTAGACCGCCAAGAAATAGAGCCAGAGCCAAGGCTGAAGGTGTAACCCTGTGACGACCGTTGCGTAGCCAAGTCGTCAACCCAAGAAGCGTCTGAGTGACCAGTGAGGACAACGTCGCCCCGTCCTCCAAGCACGAGCCCCATGCCCGATGTACTGCACAAGTAGCGTAGTACCCTCTTAGCAGCATCCATGTGCACCTTTCGGTGCCGACCAGGAGCCACGTAGCGAGCCAAAAGGCCAAGAGGGTACGCAAGGTCAGGACGAGTGCAGGTCATGAGGTACATGAGGCAGCCCACTAGCTCTGAGTAAGGACCACTCGGCTCTACGGACTCGTCCGAAGGTGGAGCTGAGAGCGAGTGACCTGTAGTTGGAGGAGTGGCCTGTGCCAAGGACCAGGTGAAGCCGAAGCGCTGAAGGACCTGCTGCACCATGTGTGACTGAGTCAGTGTGATGGTGCGGCGTGCTCTGTCCCGGGTGATCTGCAAGCCAAGGTAGCTGCGCAGCTCACCCAGGTCTGTGGACGTGTGTCTCTTTTGCAGCTCCGACTTCACCAGGGCGAGAGCCTCAGTGTCAGCAAGGGCAAAGACCAAGTTGTCGACGTACACGAGGATGTAGAACGGCGACAGCGAAGTGTCGGTGCGCAGAAACGGCGACGGGTCAGCAGTCGACGGAGCAAACCTAAGAGCCGCAAGTGTCGTCCTCAGTGTGTTGTGCCACTCACGCGGCGCCTGGCGGAGACCGTAGACTGGCCGCCGGAGGCTCCACTAGGTACTAGGAGGGAACGACCCAGTGAAGCCAGGTGGGCGGCGCAGCCAGATCTCCTCGTGCAGGCTGCCCTGTAAGAAGGCTGTGCTGAAGTCAAGAGAGTGAAGCTCGTAGTCACGCTGAACGGCAACGTGCAGCAGCACCCGAAGAGTGGTCATCTTCTGGGTGGGGGAGAAGGTCTGGAAGAAGTCGACTCCCTCCCGCTGACTGAAGCCTCGAGCAACGTAACGAGTCTTGAGAACAGGGAGAACCTGGCGGCCGCTTCACCCTGAAAATCCACATGCCATCAACGATGTTTGCCCCAGGAGGGGGAACCTCATCGACGTCAGTGCCTGTGGACTTCTAGGATGCCATCTCTGCGTCCATGGCTGTCTGCCACTGAGAGGAGTAGGGACCCGCGATCGCCTCAGGATAAGAACGCGGAGTCGGGATGTCTGGTGCATCCGGATCTCCCTCAGGGGCAAGCAGCATGGACACGAGATGAGGCGCAGCGGCTGCAAGACACTCAAGGTCCTCTTGCATGTCCTCAAGGACGTCCGTGCCAAGAGCACACTCACCCCCGACGGACGGAGGACAGACATACTCAGACTCAGCAACAAGACTAGCGGTGTAGTCTAGACGGCAGGCAGCAGCAAAGTGAACAAGCTCAGCGACTAAGGCAGACGCAACAGCAGACTCAAACGACGGGTCAGTGATAACTGTGGCTAGCAGACGCGTGACAGTAGGGTGAGCAGCACGAGCGCGGTCAGACTCAGGCTCTGGAATGTCAGGCAGAGAAGACGCTGGAGGGGACGGCAAGGGAACACGCTGCGGAGCAGAGGAAGGACGCAGGGCCATGAGGTGTGTGCCGGGGATAACCGGCGGACGCTCACGAGGAACACGACGACCAGTACGACCAGTGCGGACAGTGCGAACAGGCAAGACAGGACGAGACGCAGGCTCACGACGCGCAGCAAGACCGCCTGTCAGCTCAGTGTAAGGAGAAGGAGCAGGCAGCGGTGAGCCAGGCTGTAACGGAAGACCACTAGAAGACGGGAGGCTAAGAACCTGGCGAAGCACGGAGCCAGGCGGTGGCAGAGACGAAGGTGACGGCGGAGCGAAGAACAATCGCGGGGGTGCAGTGCCACCAGCACCAGTAGTTCCAGCACCTCCTGCAGCTCCAGAACCTCCAGCGCCAGCACCCGCAGCAGCTCCAGAACCTCCAGCTCCAGCGCCACCAGCGCCAGCACCCGCAGCAGCTCCAGAACCTCCAACTCCAGCGCCACCAGCGCCAGCACCTCCAACAGCTCCAGAACCTCCAGCGCCAGCACCCGCAGCAGCTCCAGAACCTCCAGCTCCAGCGCCACCAGCGCCAGCACCTCCAACAGCTCCAGAATCTCCACTAGAAACAACTCCAGTAGCAGAGTCACCAGCTCCAGCGCCTCCCGCAGCAGGGCCCCTAGCTCCAGCAGCGCGACCCTGACGGCTAACGTACCACTCACGCAGCTGCTGTGGGGAGAGACGGACAGCGCCAGCTCCAGTGCCTCCAACACCAGCGCCTCCCGCAACAGGGCCCCCAGCTCCAGCAGCTCGACCCTGACGGCTAACGTACCACTCACGCAACTGCTGTGGGGAGAGAGGGAGACGACGACGAGAGTGCAGCGGCGAGGCACCAGCGGAGCGACTACGAAGACGGCCGCTCCAGGGAGACTGCTCACCAGACGCCTCAGCGCCCCCAGGTGCAGCACCCCCAGACTCAGCACCCCCAGACTCCTCACGCCCAGGCTCAGCACCTCCAGGCTCCGCACCTCCAGGCTCAGCACCCCCTGGGTCCGCACCCCCAGGCTCAGCACCCCCAGAAGCAGCACCCCGAGCAGGACCACCCTCAGCAGGACCTGAGTCACCAGTGACCTCAACCAGCGCAGTCAAGGGAGGAGGGTCTACCTGAGACACACCTGAAGGAGCAGGACCGGGAGCGGGGAGGGGGTCTACCTGGGGAGCACCTAGAGCGAGGAAGAGCGGCGGGGGGGGGAGAGGGGCAGTGCGGTAGGGGAAGAGACGGTAAAAGGAAACCGACTCATCGAACGTGACGTCCTGAGAGGGGAAGACACGGCGCGAGGTGGGGTGGTAAAACTGCCAACCAGGCGCGTCAGGGACAAAGCCAAGGAAGACACAGGGAACAGCGCGGGCGGAGAGCTTGTCCGCGGTGGTATCGCGGACAAATGCACGAGAACCCCAGACCCGGAAACGCGACGCATCGCCAACCTCCCCCGTCCACCGCAGTGTGGGCGAGGTCTCCGGCAAGGAGACACGGGGCCAGAGGTTGAGCTGATGCGCGGCGTAGCGGACCGCAAACGGCCACAGAAAATGGGGGGCAGCCGCATGGACCATAGAGGTACGAGCGACCTCCATGACCAAGCCAATGCGGCGCTCAGCAACCCCATTCGGCTGCGGAGAGGCCGGAAGCGTGAACGTCTGGCGAATGCCCTCCCCACGACAAAAGCTCTGCAGAAGGTCGGAGGAAAACTCCCCACCTCTGTCAGAGTGCAGACGCAGGACGGGAAACTCCGTCCCGAACCGCTCGCGGAGCTGCAGACGGGCAGCGCGGATCCAAGGGATCAAAACATCAGGGACCTCACCCTTGGTGCGCAAGGGGAAGACCGTGGTGTAACGCGAGTAGTCGTCAACAACCAGCAGGAAGTACCGCTCGCGGTCCTGCCCACTGGCGCGGGCTGGGCCCCACACGTCCATGTGCAGGGTCTGCATGGGAGCAGTCGTCGGGGGAAACGAGGAGGAGTGAGGAGCGGCGCGCTGCCGCCCCTCAACACAGGGAAGACAGGGAGGAGCAGGCGAGGGTGGGAGAGGAGGGAGAATCCTGGGAAGACCAGAGACAAGGACACGGCGGTGCATGCTACGAAGACGCTGCACCGAGGGGTGACCAAGACGGTGGTGCCAAAGGAGGGTCTGGTGCGACAAAGCGCGACACGAGCAGGGGGCCGCTAGCTGACCTGACGCAGACGCGGACGCAGCGACCTGAGGGGACATAGTAGTCAGTGTGTACAGACTCGAGCCAGGCGCACGGGTAAACGTGGCCAGGTGCCGGCCCGTCCGGGAGCACGTACAGTGGGTCACGCGCTGACCTCCAGGAGTGAACTGGTCAACCCACTGGTCCTGGAGGTCAGCACCACTCACCAAGTTCGTAGAGAAGGAGGGGAGGTGAAGACCTGACAGGGAGCCAGACGGGACCGCCGGACACGGCAGGACCGTGGAGGAGTGCGCAAGGTCTGGATCCCCAGAGGGGTCTGCCAGAGAGACTGCAACCGGCCGACTGAGCGGCGTGAGGGTGGTGCTGTCGCGAAAGAAGGAGCGGGAAGCACCTGAGTCAAGTGTGAAGGTGTACAAGGCCTCAGCAGGCGCAGTACCAGAGAGAGCAGACTCACCAGAACCTGGAGCAGTAGACTCACTAGCACCTAGAGCAGCAGCCTTACCAGCACCTAGAGTAGGAGACGCACAAGCACCTAGAGCAGCAGCCTCACCAGTACCTAGAGCAGCAGGCTCTATACATGGGTCAGGCGGTACGCACAGGTAACAGGCACCGTCAGCACTAGTAGGCAATGCATACATGGCAGTGAGAATAGCATCATAGTCAAGAGCAAATATATCTACCCTCTGCCTAAGTAGCTCCAGCCAGGTGGGGAGCTCAGCCTCGTCGCCAAACTCGGTACGCCAGGCGTCGCTCAGACGGGCGAAGCAGCGAGACTGTAAGTGTCCAAGCGTCCCGCAAGCCTGACCAGCCCGATCACCTGTGTGAATGACGTACGGGCAGCGAACGGTACTCCGAGACCCTCTACTCTGAGCGTACCACTCACGAAGCTGCTGGGGCGTAAGTGTCTCGCGCGGACGCCGCTGCAGCTGCAGCTGGCCACTGCCAGACGCTCCCAACTGACCAGCTCCAGGGCGACAGCCACGACGGCTACCGCCACAACCCCAACTAGCGTACCACTCACGAAGCTGCTGGGGCGTGAGAGACTCGCGCGGACGTCGTTGGAGCTGCATCTGGCCACCGCCAGTAGCAGCAGTAGCAGTAGTAGCAGCAGTAGCAGCAGCAGCAGCAGCCTAGCAGCAGTAACAGAAGTAGCAGCAGTAGCAGCGCGGACAGGGCAGGCAGGCAGGCAGGCATGCAGATGGTGCGGCAGCGCGCTAACAAGGCAGGCGCGCGGGAAGCGCGGGTAGGGCAGGTGCTCACCAGTGGCGGGAAGGGCAGGCGCTCGCCGGGCGAGCAGGGCCGGCGCTCGGCGGGCGGCGGCAGGGTAGGCGCACGACGGCGGCGACGGCGGGGCCGCAACAGCGGCTGCAAAGTAGGGCCGCGTCAGCTGCAGGGCTGGGGCCACGACAGCGGCAGGGCAGGGCCGCGGCAGCTGCTGCAGGGCGGGGCCGTGTCGGCGGAAGGGCGGGGCCAGGCGGGGCCGCGTCGGTGGCAGGGCGGGGCCGCGACAGCGGCAGGGCGGGGCCGCGTCGGCGGCAGGGCGGGGCCGCGTCAGCGACCTGGCGGGGCCGCGTCGGCGGCAGGGCGGGGCCGGGTCAGCGGCAGGGCGGGGCCGCGACAGCGACCTGGCGGGGCCGCGTCGGCGGCAGGGCGGGGCCGCGACAGCGGCAGGGCGGGGCCGCGTCGGCGGCAAGGCGGGGCCGCGACAGCGGCAGGGCGGGGCCGCGTCAGCGGCAGGGCGGGGCCGCGACAGCGACCTGGCGGGTCCGCGTCGGCGGCAGGGCGGGGCCGCGACAGCAGCAGGGCGGGGCCGCGTCAGCGGCAGGGCGGGGCCGCGTCAGCGGCAGGGCGGGGCCGCGACAGCGGCCTGGCGGGGCCGCATCGGCTGCAGGGCGGGGCGGCGCTAGCCTGACGGGCCTGCAGGGGTGGCTCGCGGGCCTGACGGGCCTGCAGAGGCGGCGCGCGGGCGCTACGGGCCTGCAAGGGCGGCGCGCGGGCGTTATGGGCCTGCAGGGGCGGCGTGCTGGCCTTACGGGCCTGCAGGGGCAGCGCGCTGGCCTTACGGGTCTGTAGGGCGGTGCGCGTGTAGCTAGGGCAACAGTAGGCAGCGCGAGGGCTGCAGGACGGCGCGCGCAGCGCAGCACGTCACAAGGCAAGGCAGGGGAAGGCGCGCGCAGGACAACACGTGGGGTAGCGCAATAACCGCAACGGTAGGTGGGCCCGGAAAAAAAAAGACGGTCCTACGGACCTAGTGCTCTGAAACCATGTTAGAATCTAGTAGCAGGCTTGAATTGACTAGATCAGGGTTTGGTACAAATATGAAACCCTAATGGGGTTGTACCCCATATTGGCTACCCCACTACAACCCACACATATATGACATGCATATAATTTGACAGGCGACGAGAGGGAAAACGACAAGAGGGGAGCGGACAGAGGAAGAACGACGGGCGGGGAAGGGAGAGAGCGCGGAGGCGACGGGAGAGAGAGTGCGGAGGCAACGGGAAATAGAGCGCGGAGGCGACATGAGAGAGAGCGCAAAGGCGATGGGAGTGAGAGCGCGAAGGCTACGGGAGAGAGAGCGCGAAGGCGACGGGAGGGAGAGTGCGGAGGCGACGAGAAAGAGAGCGCGGAGGAGACGGGTAAGAGAGCGCGAAGGCGACAGGATAGAGAGCGTGAAAGTGACGGGAGTGAGAGCGCGAAGGCGACGGGAGAGAGAGCGCGGAAGGCGACGGGAGAATGAGCGCAAAGGCGACGAGAAAGAGAGCGTGGAGGAGACGGCTAAGAGAGCGCGAAGGCGACAGGAGAGAGAGCGCGAAAGCCACGGGAGTGAGAGCGCGAAGGCGACGGGAGAGAGAGCGCGGAAGGCGACGGGAGAATGAGAGCGAAGGCGACGGGAGGGCGAAGGCGGCGGGAGAGAGGAGGGCGACGGGAGAGAGGAGGGCGACGGGAGAGAGGAGGGCGACGGGAGAAAGGAAGGCGGCAGGCGAGGGATAGGCGAAGCGCGAGAGAGGAAGGCGACCGGGAAAAAGGTTGAGCGACTGGAGGGCGATATACCGAGAGCGCGACGGCTGGAAAAGGTGAAGGGGTGGGTGACACATGCGAGAAAGGAGAAAAATGTATACTATAAAAATCGTCGTTTACTACATTACGCACGCGAGCTAAGTCGATACTTCGTGCCTGGGCCAGAAACATCTAGGCTCTATCAGCTTTACTACTGCCGTATGCTACGCAAAACAGTAGTGTCTTCGGGACTTGAAGAGGGCTAGTCATTCACCCAGTTCCAACTTGAAGTGGAAGTTGGGCCTGGCGATGGAAACGATCGCATGGCAACGGTCGTGCGGGGAGCAGCGTGTAAAAATGCGACGGCTAACTTGGGCCTCGAAAATCGTTTTGGCAGGAGGGAACATTTTCAGATTGGCTTGAGCCAATCAGATGAGTTCAACCTGCCAACACGGTTTGTTTGGAACAGTGTTGTATCACCCGAACTATTCGCAGCGATTTCAAGTTGGGTCTGCCTTCACTATTTTATATTTCGGTTTTAAAATACACATTACCGGCATATTACATTTCGCTACAAATTTGTGTGGAGATTACTGTGCACAGCAGGGCCCAAAATATCAGGGTAAAACGCCCTGATTACCCTGGGGGTAGGCCGCTTTTTCAGGATTACCCTGCCAAAATCAGGATTCCACGAAAGTTACCCTTTTGCAAAAAGAGCATGTTTTTTTTTACCTTGATCGGATTTATGGTTAGCCTGACAGTATCAGGGTAGGGTGTAGACTACCCTGATACCGAAACTTTTTTACCGCGGATCATGCCATACTCCGCTTGGTGACGAATCGTACCACACCCACACAAACAAGCGTTGTCGCTTCTTACCACTGGCATAAAACCAAGAGTCGTTGTCGGCGACACGCCATGTCGCCTCATTGGTTGTTTCACCCAATGAGGCGACACCCAGTTTGTAGAAGAAGTAGTAGGCAGTGGGGGTGGCACTGAGTAGGTGTGTTGTGAATGTGATGCTCTTCCAAAGCTCATGGACTTTGTGAGTGCTACTTTATTATGTCATTGTAAATAGCTTAGCTCACAACATAGTAACTGAAACAGGGTTGGCCTAAAACTACCCCGCTCAAATCAGGCTAATGGTTGATTTATCCTGCTGCAAACAGGGTACGAAAAAATTTACCCTAGGGGTCGGGGTAAGGAGGGGCCGGTACCCTGATTTGTAGGGGTAGGCCTAAACCAATTTTGGGCCCTGGTGCACAATAGATAAAGATCTTAGCACTAGATCACACATATTTGCCAAACCAGTAAAACAATCTCCAAATCAGCAACCACAGAAATTCAATTCTCGCACGGTTACACTGAGCTGTCCAGACAACTGGTGAGTTTGGACGATACGTCAGCAGTGGACCAGTGCCCTAGAAATCAGACTTTAAAGTCTGAGTCAGAGTCCGTTCAGACTTTTTTTTTGTACCTAGTCTGAAGTCTAAGAATTTTTATATGTACCTTGTCTGATTTTTCAGAGGTTTTTTTTATGAGTTGTCTGAAATTTCAGCCTAATTTTTTAAGTGTAGGTTGAGCCTCAGACTTGTATCGGGGGTACACTCTGCGCGCTTATAGAAGCGAAGTTTCCTGGAAGTTTCTTTTCAATATGCCCACTTCCGAGATGGCAGTGGAGTGCCAGGACGTGAGCAACGCACACTTCAACAGCTGGGACATCCGAATACACTCGTTCGTCGAGAATATCTTCCAGTTTCGCTGAGGAAATGGTTGCGTGATTACGGGATTTTTAAGACAAAACATCGTCACAAGTAAGTTATTGTCAGAATCCCAACCACTAGACCATTGGGATAAAATGACTTGTTAAGCAGCGGGTCAGTGCGCCCATAACCCCCCAGGCCAATATGCCTGTAACCCTTCCCTAGGATCAATCGGGGATCACCAGTGGACCTCTGACACCCTCCCGCACTGGGATGTCCGAAGTGCACACACTGGGATTCGAACCCGAGACCTTCGCTCTGATACCATGTCAGAATCCCAACCACTAGATCATTGTGATAAAAGGGCTTATTAAGTAGCGGGTCAGTGCGCCCATAACCCCCCAGGCCAACATGCCTGTAACCCTTCCCTAGGATCAATCGGGGATCACCAGTGGACCTCTGACAGTTATCGCTAATGTATTGTAAAGAATAGGAGACTTTGATGCTGATTCGCTGTAAAACCATCTGCAGCACGCACTCCTGTGAAATTGCGAAGGTCCTGATTCGTAGTGAAAGTTTCGTGTAGCACTACCTGATGCTCACACGCCACGCCAAGCAACAGTTTCTGCTTGCTGACAGCTCAGCTGCGTGGCACTTGGCCCACCTGATACAGATCGGGTGAACGATCACATCGCTAGAAATGCAAATCCAAAATTGACAAAATTGGCACATAGGCGAGAAAATGGGTACAGAATGGTAATCACACACACGACAAAACGAAATGAGATCAGCAGAAACAACCATGCGCTGCACGTGACAAAAACACCAGAACGCCGCCGACATGAGCAGTGGCGATGCACGAGCACGTTGCCTGATGTGTTGGTAGGCTGTAATCAGCTTCAATGCTATTATAACTATGCTGATATGAAACTGCATGAACATATTAAAATCTGAAGTAACTCTGACAGCTCAGACAAAAAAAGTTGTGCTTGTCTGAATTTTCAGACTAAAAAAAATAGGTAACTCTGACTGCCAGACTAGGAAGAGGGGTGTACTCTGAGGCGTCAGACTACCTCAAAACGAATCTAGGGGCCTGCAGTGGACATGTTGGTCTGGCTTGTCAATCTGGACATGAATTTAGATCATTTTGTGCCAGACGTGCAAATGTAACGCCAACTTGTCAAAACATAACTAGTGCACGTTCAAATGGTTTAAGGCTTTTAGTGTTATATTTCGCACCTGAAACATCATTGGTGGACAAGGGCAGTTGCATAGTCATCGTGAAATTCGCAGGGCTTATGTTTCCCACAGTCCAGCATGTCTTCTTCACGCGTCATTCAGCCCGGATGGTGTCAGGACACCCTTGGGAACACTCTTATTCTGGCTGAAGGGGAGAAGCGGCTCGAGAGGGGACTGCGAGGGACGATTCTTGAGACGCCTCAAGAATGCGTCGGACTGAGCTTGGGCTGGACTTGTTTAAGAGAGGGGGCTTATAGCCTCGGCCTAATAGTCTGGGGAGAAGGGGTGATGAGGCGAGCGAGGGACTGCGGGGGACGAGGGATGTCGGGGGGAGTGAGATGGGAGGAGGGGCCGAGGGACCAGAGGGCGTGGATGGGCAGGGGAGGGGGTGTTTGAGGCGTCTAGAAAATCATAACTTGGGCTTGTTTGTTCGAACTGAGGTGGTGATGAGGCGAGAGAGAGACGGTGGGGGACGAGGGATGTCGGGAGGAGTGAGATGGGAGGAGGGGGCGATGGACCAGAGGGCGTGGATGGCAGGGGAGGGGGTGTTGAGGGGGAGGAGGAAGCGAGAGAGAAGGGGATGGACGATGGAGGCCCATGCAGGGGAGAATGGAGGAGGAGGAGGGGACTGAGGGGGTTGGGAGGTGTGGTGGGCGGAATGGTGGGAAGAGTAGTGGGAGGAGTGGAGGGAGGAGTGGAGGGAGGAGTGGAAGGAAGAGTGGAGGGATGAAGCGAAGTGGAAGATGGGGCGGAGGAGGGAAAGAGGGATGGAGAAGTTGAGGTGCGGAAGGATGGTGCCGTGTCGGTTGTGCTTTGCATTGCTGGTGGGGGGAAAGGGGTTGAAGGGCATAGAAGGGCGTTGTAAGGGATTGAAGGACATAGAACGGCGTTGAAAGGGATGGAGAAGTTGAGGTGAGGGAGGGTGTTGAATTGAATTGGTGGTTGTGCTTTGCATTGCTGGTGGTAGGGGAGAAAGGGGTTAGGAGGTGAAGGGTGGTGAGGGGGGTTGGGAGAGGGAAGTGGGCCAACAGGGGTTTTGAGACGTCTCAAAACACTTTTATTATCACAGGGGCAGGGCAGGACGAAGGATAAAGTAAGATGGTAACATTGCACTTCGTGTACCTACCTCATGTGATGAGGCGATTTTTGAGTCGACTCAAAAATCCGCGTGTGATGAGGCGACTCAAAAATCGTAAGATGGTAACATTGCACGGCGTGTACCTACTGGCTTTTGAGAATTCTAAAAAAGCACTGCGTGTACCTACCTCGTCACACCGTGACAATGTTACCTCATAACATGTGCTTCTGTCATAACATCGCAACATGGTTACTTTAAAACAAACGCACCTGGCAAGTAACCATCTCACCTTGTAACCAGCTCACCTTGTCACGAGTGCAATCATCTCCCCCTGTGCGTTCACCACCGCGCCTCCACTCGCCCCGGCATGCACTGCTGCAGTCGTCAGCACCATCGCTGCCACCCTCCCCCCTCTCTGCCCTCCTTTGCTCCTGTGCGCCTGCTCCCCTCTTCGCTCCACTGTACTTTGACACGTCTCTACCTGTTGCCGCCCGCCGTTCAACCAATCAGATGCGCTAGTGCTGCTGCTCTTGGTATCAAATCCCTGCTCTTGCTGCTGCTCGTGCTCTTGGTCAACGGTGACGACTCGAGAGACAATACCTGAGAAGACTGATGGGGGAGTGGCTGGAAGGGAGGGGATGAAAGGCAGAGGGGGCGCGTGGGAGGTCGGGTGAGGGTGGGGGGGGGAGAGGCGGAGATGTAAAGCGACAGAAGGGAAAGCCGAATGAGGTTTGAAAGCGGTGATGCTACCGGGGAGAACTAGCAAGAAGAAAGGCATGTCTGTTGAAGGTAATCGTGAAGACATTCTGTCTGTTGCATGAGGTGACTTTTGAGTCGACTCAAAAGTCACCTTGCTACCAGGGAATGCAACAAGGCAGAGATGTGCCTTTTGAGTCGACTCAAAAGTCACCAGGTAATCGTGAAGTCATTCTGTCTGTTGCATGTAACAAGAGCGGGGGGGGAGACAGCATAACCAACAGCCAATGAGAAGGGCTGTGGACCCCCACGCGTGTCGCATGAGGCTTGAGTCGTTTGAACAGTTTTGAGACGGCTCAGAACCGGCTACAACTCTGCAAGGTCGGTGTTATCAGAACAAGAGTGCTGAAGAGAGAGGAGGAATTGGTACACGTACCGAGGGCGGGAGGGAACACAGCATAGCCGATGACGACAGCTGTGGACCCACATTCCAGCTCCGAGGCTCTCGGACGAATGGGGCGGACAGCCAGACTGCTGCTGCTGCTTCTGTGTTGCTGCTGACCCACTTGTCCTGCATCTGCTGGCTGCGCTGTGGTCTTATGTTGTGGGTTTGTCCAGGGTGTTGCACACGACTGGATGGTGCAGGTGGCATCTGGTGGGACGGACGAATGGGGCGGACAGCCAGACTGCTGCTGCTGCTGTGTTGCTGTTGTTGACCCGCTTCTCCTGCATCTGCTGGCTGCACTGTGGTCGTATGTTGGTGCGTTTGTGTGGGCTCTACGTGATTGGAGGTTGCAGGCGGTATGTGGTCTAGAGGTGCGGGTGGCATCTGGTGCAGGTGCTGCCTGTTATCCAGAGGTTCAGGTCCAAGTGCAGGTGCGGGTGGCATCTGGTGCAGGTGCAGCAGGGCAACGTCCAGCGAGCCAGAGCACACATAGATGATGCCTGCGCGCACCCATGCTGCTGCTGGTGGTGGGGAGGAAGATGAGGTGGAAGAGGCAAGGGAGGAGCGTGGTGAGAAGGAGGGTGTAGTGGACGAGGGAAGGTAGGAGAAGCATGGGACTCGAACCCAGATGTCGTGAGCAGGGGGCGTGGAGAGGAGGTCAAGAGAAGGGGAGGAGAAAGGGGACGAGGAGGCGGAAGAGGCGGAGGAGGCGGAGGAGGAGGGAGAAGATGAGAAGGATGAGAGTGAGGGAGGAGAGAAGGGGGACGGGGAAGAGGAGGAGCTGGAAGAGCCTTGGTGGAGGAAGAGTGGGCTGGGTGGGAGGGCATGCTGCAGCTTGAGCAAGGGAGTGAGGATGTGAGCGTTGGTGAGTATGAGGCCTGAAGGGGATATGATCACCCCAGAGCCCCACACTGTCCCTCCCACCACTATGCCTACAACGGATGGCAGTGCTGCTGCCACTGCTCTCACCACACCTCCTCCTGCCCCTTCTCCTGTCCCTCCTCTTCCTGCTCCTACGCCTTCTCCTCTTCCTGCTCCTATTCCTAACCTTGCCTCTCCTCTTGCTGCTGCTCCTGCTGCTTCTTCTCCTGCTGCTTCGGCTGCAACTGAAACGGATGGCCGTGTGTCGGAAGCAAGGGATGGCTGCAACTGAAGTAAGGCAGCTCCAGCAAGGGATGGCTGTAGTTGTGTATTCGGTGAAAAAATTGCACCAGCGCTGCGAGCGATTGGACAGTAGGTGCTGCCAGCGACAGGAGCTCTGGCTACTGCTTGGCACAATGCAGCATCGATATTATGAAAAGGTGAAGCGTTGATCTTCAGAAAGGGTATATCAGCCCGAGCAGAGACTTGCTGCTGCTGCTGCTGCTGCTGCTGCTGCGATTGGGGCTGCTGCGGTACTCGTTGGGCGGTTGTAGATTTGTGGGTGTGTGGTGATGTGTCGGTCACCGATTGGATGGCAGAGACAACCAGTGAGATGGAGGCAGCAACCTGATGTGAGCGAAGCGAGTAGGAAGGGGAGTGGGGGGACAGCAAAATAATAAGACAGAGGGGAGAATTTACAGCTTGTGGTAAAAAAGAGAGTCCATGGCTCGTGGGCAGGGGGATAGGCCGATAAAGGGAGGGGATGTTTCAAAGAATTGTTTCAGGGAGTGTGAGTGAGTGGAATGATGCGACTAACCGGGATGGAAACGGTCGCTGACGTCAAAAGAGGATGGTTGATGCTGATGGGTGGCAGGAGCATGGCCTTGATGCATCTCACCGAGTCAAACAGTGGCTCTCCTTCGTGGCATGCAGTCATACTTAAAATCTGACTAGATGTGATGCTACTCACCGGGATGGAGACCATGGCTGCTGGCATGAGGGGGTAGTTGACGGCGATGGGTGGCAGGAGCATGGCCTTCATGCATCCCATGGCGTGTGATGTGATGTGATGTGATGTCATGTTGTGCTACTAACCGGGATGGTGACGGTGGCTGATGGCATGAGAGGGTGGTTGACGGTGACAGGTGGCAGGAGCATGGCCTTGATGCATCCCATGGCGTCAAACACTGGCGCTCCCTCCATGCCTGTCAGACCATGCCATGCCATGCCATACCATACAAAGCCATGTCTTACCATGCCATGCCACGCCATGCCATGCAAAACCCAGGCGATGCCGGTGGCACTTGAAATCTGTTTTCACAACTAGAACCAAGGGCGAGAATCATACAAAGCTGATGAAAAAGTATTGAGTTGACTCAAATAAACATTCAGCAGTAGAACAAAACTGGAAAAACAAAACTCCCAAAAGCGAATCACATCTCTTGTTATGCTCTCTAAGGGCGTGTGTGATATTTTTCTAGGTTCGGAAAACGGGTGGAACAAAACCCCCATAAGTGAATTACATCTCCCAAAAATGGGTTATGCTCACGTAACCCAAAAATGGGTTATGCTCACGTAACCCAAAAATGGGTTATGCTCACGTAACCCAAAAATGGGTTATGCTCACGTAACCCAAAAATGGGTTATGCTCACGTAACCCAAAAATGGGTTATGCTCACGTAACCCAAAAATGGGTTATGCTCACGTAACCCAAAAATGGGTTATGCTCACGTAACCCAAAAATGGGTTATGCTCACGTAACCCAAAAATGGGTTATGCTCACGTAACCCAAAAATGGGTTATGCTCACGTAACCCAAAAATGGGTTATGCTCACGTAACCCAAAAATGGGTTATGCTCACGTAACCCAAAAATGGGTTATGCTCACGTAACCCAATGGGTTACCAAATGGGTTATGCTCACGTAACCCAAAAATGGGTTATGCTCACGTAACCCAAAAATGGGTTATGCTCTCGTAACCCAAAAATGGGTTATGCTCACGTAACCCAAAAATGGGTTATGCTCTCTGACGCTCCCCTATGCTCCCTGCCCTTCCCCTCGTGATTGCTACCTGGCAGGAAGGGAAGGTCAAGGGCTAGGAGCCCTGCCGGCAGCACAGCTGACAGCACTCCCGATGAAAGGCTGGCAGACGGGCAGTGAATGAAAGGGGAGCGGAGAGGACGAGAAGGAGGAAGGGGCGAGGAGGAGGGAATGAGTGAGCAAGTTGGAAGTCTGGCCAGTGGTGATACCTTCTGGCCTACAATGTAACACAACAAACTAAATATTTCAGATTTTGTTGGTTGCAACGGAATGTGGTGTCGCATACCCCTCACTGTGTACTTCTCATAAACATCACCAATACACCCCTGATAAGAATCACCTGCGTACCCCTTATAAGCATCACCTGTTGGCGAACAGGGTCGGTGCAAGCACTCCAAATGGTGAACCAAGCAACAAGACAGGACTGCCAGGTGTCAATGTGTCATTGGCGGAGGAGGTTGATGGGGAGCTGACCTGGCAGTGCGTGCGTGACATGTGGGGGAATTAGGTGGGATAGGAAAGGAGCACATGTGTTGTTCATCACATCAAATGGACCTTTCCACAAGGAGAAGCAAATGGAGCCTCTGATGCTGCAGATACCAGCGTATGAGGTACCACGGATACCAGCGTATGAGGCTGATAAATGGACCTGTTTTCCAAATGAGAAGGCATGACGCTGGTATCCACGGATGGCATTGGTTGGAGTCCCTTTTGAGAATTCCCAAAAGTGATCTCACATAGTACAGTATGGCACGGATTTGAAATCTGAAACGTTTCATAACACGGCGGGGCAAGATCAATGGCACGGTACAATGGCAAGGAACAGAGGCTGGGCAGGGCAGCAAAGGTTGGCAGACATTTTCCCGTGCCTCATTTGCTGCGTTCCTCCACTTTGGCTTGGTCCCATACCTTCAGTTCATGCCTCAGCCTCATCTGCTCCTGAACCATGCACCGCAATGCCTCTGACGCTGCCGCCGCCACTGGTACTGGCCCTGCCCCAGCTCCTGCTCCTGCCGCTGCCCCTGCCCTTGCCCCTGCCCCCGCCCCTGCCCCTGCCGCTGCAGCTGCTACTGTCGCTCCTGGTGATGGTGGTTGGATGAGTCTCACACGCAGCACTGCTATCTCGAGAGCATTCGGTGTTGATTCTGCTGCTTGTGGTGATGGTGGTGGCTGTGCTGCATGGGAGGAAGAGGAGGAGAGTGAGGCGGAGGGGATTGAGGAGGAGGGGATTGAGGAGGAGGGGATTGAGGAGGAGGGGATTGAGGAGGAGGGGATTGAGGAGGAGGGGATTGAGGAGGAGGGGATTGAGGAGGAGGGGATTGAGGAGGAGGGGATTGAGGAGGAGGACGGGGGAACGGAAAGGAGGGTGGGTGGGGAGGGTGTGTTAGCGGGCTGGAGAGACGCTAAGGACGAGGTGATGGCTGGAATATTCACCTGGGAAGACACAAGGAGCGAGGTGGCCAACGGGATTTGGGATGAGGAATAGGGGAGTGAGGGGGAGGGGAAGGGGGGGGGGAGAGGGAGGGGAGAATGAGTGGGGAGAAGGTGTTAGCGGACTGGAGAGACGCTAAGGACGAGGTGATGGCTGGAAGATTCACCTGGGAAGACACAAGGAGCATGGGGGGGGGACGGAAATGAGGAGGGGGTAAAAGACGAAGGGAATGGATGGAGAGAGTGGGGGTCAATAGACCGGAGGAACTTCTAGTTGGCTCAAAGGCAGTGGATACTTATTGGATACTTCCACCTGGGTTCCGGGAATAAATGTGCTGACCGGACCACACTAATAGCTTCTTCCACCTTCATGCACATCTCACATCTTCCAACCGCTTCTCACATCTTCCAGCCGCTTCTCACATCTTCCAACCGCTTCTCACATCTTCTCCTCACATCTTCTCTGGCAAGGCAGAGGCAGGCACTCACAAAGCAGAGCAGCTCCGCTGGAAGAGAGAAGGGTTGCGAAGGCCCTTGTAGGGATGGCGACTGGCGAGAGGGAGTGATGGAAAGGAGGGTTAGTAGGTGTGCATGAAGATTATTCTTGAGGTGCCTAAACTATGGTGCGCTATTGGAGACACAATGGTAATGGGGCACGGAACAGGTGCGAGAGGGGACAGAGGGACAATTTTTGAGTCGACTCAAAAATTGAGTCGACTCAAAAATCGACTCAAAAAAGTCGACTCAAAAATAGACAATGGAGCATTTGGAGAAGAGTCATGGTAGCAGCACAACAGGGCTTTTGGAATTTCAAAAGCAAGCGGCCCCAACATAGATGAACGCGCATGCCGTCTGTGCTGGACTGACTGCAGTAGCGGCAGGCAGCTCAACGCTAATAAGGTACTAGCGTTTACTAATACCTCAAAGGTAATATTGATGCGCGTGCCAGGAAGCAGAGGGGGAGCAGAAGGGTTTCGCTGCAGCTGCTGCTGCTGCTGCTGCTGCTGCTGCTGCTGCTGCTGCCGCTGCTGCTGCTGAAAGGGCCAGCGTTGCTGTGCTGATTGGTATTTGAAAGCCTGCTGCTGCTGCAAAGTGTGGTAGTTGGACGGTTGTTGCTGCTGCATGACAAAGGATCGAACAATCCGACCAGGCACAAGTACCGTAACCTCCTCCCCATTCCACCCGCACCTGCTACCCTCCTCCCGATCCCACCCACTCATTTTACCCTCCTCCCGATCCCACCCACTCATTTTACCCTCCTCCCGATCCCACCCACTCATTTTACCCTCCTCCCGATCCCACCCACTCATTTTACCCTCCTCCCGATCCCACCCACTCATTTTACCCTCCTCCCGATCCCACCCACTCATTTTACCCTCCTCCCGATCCCACCCACTCATTTTACCCTCCTCCCGATCCCACCCACTCATTTTACCCTCCTCCCGATCCCACCCACTCATTTTACCCTCCTCCCGATCCCACCCACTCATTTTACCCTCCTCCCGATCCCACCCACTCATTTTACCCTCCTCCCGATCCCACCCACTCATTTTACCCTCCTCCCCTTCTCCCATCGCTCCCTTTTCCGTCATCATTTCCCCATGCCTATCCCACCCGGACCTGCCATTGCTCTCTGCCCCTGCCACCAGTCCCCCTGCCCCCACCACATGCCCATCCAGCTGGGTTCCTAGATCAGACAGTCGCCCCGGCAGCACGATACCACACGCTGACACGGCTGTTGTTCCATTGCTGGTTGCGGAGTGGTGGGTGGGGATGGGAGGGGGAGTACGGAAAGAAGGGAAGGTTCTTGAGGAACCTCACAACAGCTGCCCTGGCAGGCAGCACGATACTAGAGGCTAGCACAGCGGTTGTTCCCTTGCTGGGAGGGAGGGTGGGGGGAAGTAAAGGTATTGGAGGCGCCTGAGAAGAAATCAGGTGCCCAGGCAGCACAGACCAAGCTTGTTCAGAAAAATAAATCAAAAATCAACTGTAAACAAAAAACTCAACAGTGCCCGCCCAGGCAACACAGCCTTATTGGAGTCACTTTTGATCTTACGCACAAGTGACAACAGTGCCCAGGCAACACAGCCTTATTGGAGTCATTTTTTATCTTACGCACAAGTGACAACAGTGCCCAGGCAGCACAGCTGAAGATGTTGACACGGCTGTTGCAGCGTTGATGGTTTCACAAGGTGGGGGGAAGGGAAGAGGGAAAGGGGCCAGCTGGCGTAAGTAAGAGGTTAGGAAGGAGGGTAACCGGGACGGGTGTGGGCAGGTAAAAGAGTACGGTGGAAAGAGGTTGGGAGGGTAGGAGCATGAGGTGGGGGGGAGGAGGGAGGGGATACCAAGGACGAATGGCGTGAGAAGAAAAAATCACACCTCCCATCTCTCCCCCCTTTTCTCCCCCACAAATCCCCGTTCCCCCTCGCAGCCACCCAGATGTTTGCCCAGCCTGCTTGTTACCTGGACTTGAGTCGACTCAAAAACAGGCCCAGCCTGCTTGTTACCTGGACTATATTGAAATCACTTTTGAGAATTCTCAAAAGTGATTTCAATATCGCAGGCACCCAGATGTTTGCCCAGTCTGCTTGTTACCTGGACTGGAAAAAGTCGAACCGCAGCAGCTTACGGCCCTTGGGATCCTGCAGTCAACAAAAGTCAACGACAGTGAAGGGGATTCAACGGTATTCAACGGAAAATTGTGCCAACAGAAAAGGGAGAAGCGACGAATGACGTCGTTCAGAGACTTGCGGGCCCCTGCACGCGAAAGAGGCGACTCTGAGTGACTCATAAATCACTCTGTTTCGTGATCGCGCAGGGGGACGCGATGAAACGACACAATCAGGGACTTGCGGGCCCCTGCACGCGAAATAGGCGACTTCTAAGTCGACTCATAAATCACTCGCAGGGGGAGTCGACTTCTAAGTTGTTAGAAAAAATCACACCTCCCATCTCTCCCCCCTTCTAAGTTGCTTCTAAACGCGCAGGGGGAGGCGATGAAACAACACAATCAGGGACTTACGGGCCCCTGCACTCGAACGAGGCACCCCGAAGATTTCGCCAGCCGCACTACTCTGTCGTCCATGGCTCCGGCTCTCTCGAGGTATTCTACCAGCCAATGAGCCGATGTTTGAACGATTTCTGTACAGGAATTCAAGTACCAGTTAGATACTAGCTATGACGTGAAAAACTGCGTCAAATTCGCCGCTCTCGATCAGTCCAGCCGTGGCTTCATCATCGCTCCTTCGCTTGCCCACGTTCCTCCTCTCGCCGCTTCCCTTGCTATCCGACGCTGTCTGCTTTTTGGGCAAACTTATCAAGGGCGTGTCGGGAGTAAGAGAACAAGTCGACACGCGCGGAGGTCACGGAGAGTTACGGTGCATTCAATGCGCGTGTTCTGTGCGTGCAAACTCTCCTCTCCTATCCTCAGTAGCCTAATTAGTCTCGAGCGCCCAACAGACACCAGTCATCATGTCAACCTAGCCTGGTGTTTGTACCCGATAAAGGTAGGGAATCTATTTGAATTAAACAGTCGAGAAGTAGCTGCACCATCTTATTCATGTTGCCTATGATGTTTTCTTCAATGAAACGTAATATTTGCCCAAAAGAAGGCATATGCATGGGTTTTCGGTAAACGGAGGTTTTGAACGCTGCAGTTCGGTTCCTCTGCCGCAGCAGACAGCCTGGCCGTCTGTCGTGACTTGGTGGTCCAGCTCCAGCACCACCGCCCACCACACAAGCAAGAGCACCAGCTCACCAGTGGTGCACTTGTCGTTACAGAGCATCGCCAGTTGGCTGGCTGGGTTGAGAAGGGCGAGCACTGACCGTCCGATGGTCGTTAGGTTGTCCACGTTATCGCGGCTGAGTGGACGATCGGTTCGATTGCCAGCGAATCTGTCGCAATTGACGCTCGACCGTTGGATGGGAGAATTGACACGCGGACCGCGGTAGACTGTGCAGAGTAGCACGCGTGGCAAAACGGCATCAACTCGACCCACAGCACAGCAGGGCCTGAGGCAAAAAGTTCAACAACATTTGTTCCGTACGCTGACTGGATTGGATGGGCCCTCCCTTCGTTCGAGTGCTCGTTTGCTTGTGGTTTGGTACGACAATCAGTCTCGTGACTCGAGAATTGATCAGGTCGATTTGAAACTGTACAGATATGACACGTCTCCAGCTTGCTGGAGAGAGTCTCGTCGAGTGGTGTCGTCGTCTCGCTTATTTCTCCTGATACGCGAAGTGAACCGCGAGAAATGGATAGAGCCCACTAGAGTCACCACGAGCACTACAGTACAGTGTAGTGAGGTCGAGTTGAAGCACCGAGTGGACACTGATGTGACGTGACGACGACAAGGACGGGTTTCGTTTTCGCAGGCCTCGCATATCGCAGCGCGAGCACACAGCAGGTTACAGGTTACACAGTACAACACTACACAGTGCGACACAGAGCAGCTAGTGTAGGTGGTTCCTCCCTGCCTTCCTCCTCTCCACATCACATCACTTCCATTCCATCCATCCCTCCCTCCCCAAACAAAAGCGAGTAGTATTTCCCGTCAGCATGCACCTCCCATCGCAAATAGGTCTACGCAGTAGATGCAGTTTATATGCAACCTTAGATTCGCGTGCGCACACGCAGTTAGCATGTCCTCCCACCATTCACGGCATATCCCATCCACCCTAACCTTTCCCAGTAACACCTGACCAGAAGAATGTACTAGTAATCTACTTAGCAAAACTTCACCTCGTTTTCCAAACATGGGTCGCAACAGTTCGACCACCAGCAGCAGCAGCGCCGGGCATTCTAGCGCTGACCCTAACCCTAACCCTAGCAACGGGCCGCCACGAACCACGGGCCGGCAGGGCCGCCACAAACACAGCTACAGCATGGACTATTCAACGGCCTCTCCTCTCGCGCTTCCGCCGTCCGGTCGTAAGCCTAGGTCGCAGAACAACAGCCCAGGCGACAATGGCGGCCACCGCGGCGGCGGCGGGAGCAGGCAGTCGCCTCTCTCGGGCGTGACGGCTCACAGTGGCGGCGGAAGCGCGAAGAAGTCTTCCTCGTGGATGCCTCAGATGCCTCAAATGCCGCATCTTAGTCCGCGCTTCCTATGCTCAGCGGGAATGCCGCCGGAACTTCAAAACGGTTATTTCGGCCATTTGGATCTCGGCGACCGCGACGAAGACGACGACGATGACGAAATTCTCGGTGGCCAATTGGGTAACCGATCGCGTAGCGAAGTCCTCTACAGGCGCCCGCTCGTCGCAGACGCCGTCGAGGTCAGCTGCAGCCGCGGCGGCGGCAGCGGCGGGTACTCCCGCGCGAAGACCGAGATCCCGCGGAACGCGCGCGCAAGAGCCGCAGCCGCAGCCGCTGCCACCTCCCGCTCGCCTGCGCCTCGAGGCGGCGGCGGCGGCGCGGCCAGCGCGGGCGCAGCGGCAGGGCTCGACGCGCATCAGCAGGAGGAGGCGGACGCTGATGAGGAGGAGAGCGAGGAGCGGTTCGGCAGAGCTAGCTCCATGCCTGCCTCGATGCACCGGCGGCGAAGATCCCTAGGCGGCGGGTTGGTCTCCCTAGGGTCTGGCGGTCTGACCTCCCTAGGATCCCCTGGCGCGCCTGGCGGGCTGGCTTCGTGCTTGCAGCCTAGATCGTCGGAGATGGACGAAGACACTACAATCCGCTTTACAGAAGGACCCGCCATAAGTTCTAGGTCGAGCTCTGGAAGGATCGGCGGCGGGGTTCTGGATGGATCGCTGACCTCTGGTGATGATGATAGTGGTCGGTTTGATAGTGGTAGGTCCGGTAGTGACCGGTTTGGTAGTGGTAGGCTTGGGAGTGGTAGGCTTGGTAGTGGTAGGCTCGGCAGTGGTAAGCTCGGTAGTGGTAGGTTTGGTGATGATCGCTTGTCAACCGACTCTTTCTCTGGCCGCGGGGAGAATGTCAAGGGTGGGGCACCGAATCCGAAAGTTCGCCGAAGCTATTCCGGAGCTTCGGACAGCTCAGGTAGGCTCGGTGACAGGCCTGGGGACAGAGTAGGAGAGGCGTATCCGGATGGGCGGGTTGAGAGTCTGCTGGAAGAACGTGCCTCAAACAATATCGCGTACAAGGGAAGAGGCTCGCAATCAGGGCCGTTGATGCCCCGCTGGTCACTGCAAATAAACGGCTGCGATCAATCAGGGTCCGAGCGCACAGAGGAACCTTCCTCTCACCCGCCGCGGAGACCTACAGGTGCAGCAGAGCGGCTCAAGTCCCGCAGTTACATTGGAAGGAGCTTCTCAGGTGGGGGTATGGAATCTATAGCTGCTTCTGCCGCTGCTGCTGCTGCTTCGGCGTCTAGTGTTGAGTCGAGTAGAAAACCAGGTGCTGCTGCACAGAGGCTTAAGTCCAGCAGCTTCATTGGGCGGAGTTTTTCTGGGGGGGGTGTGGAGTCTGCATCTGCTTCTGCTGCTGCTGCGGCGGCGTCTATCCGCGCTGCATTACGGGCGTCCGTGCTTCGAAGCTCGTCAGGAGTGGGGAAAGAGGGGCAGGCGGGAGATGGACAGGGGAGAGAGGGACAGGGGGGACAGGCAGGAGGGGGGCAGAAAGGGAGAAGCGGAGGTTCGGGTCGATGGTTGATTGCAAAGAGCTTCTCAGGAAGCCGTGCTCGCACAGGTGATGCTGCTGCTGATGCTGCTGCTGCTGCTGTTGCTGCTGCTGCTGGTAGTGATGCTGCTGCTACTAATGGTGATGTTGAGGCTGCTGACGGTAAGTTTCGGGTGGATGAGTCACGTTCGGCCAGCGTGCGAGGCACGGGTGGGGAGGAGGAGGAGGGATTTGGAGTGTGTGGCAGGGAGAGCAGGGACGGTGGCAGGAGAGAAGGGATGGAGGAAGAGGAGGGATCAGGAGAGTGTGGTGGGGGGAGCATTGACAGTGAGGAGGAGGAGAGTGAGAAAGAGGAGGAAGAGCGGGGAGAGGGGGGAGAAGAGGAAGAGGGGGAAGAGGTGGAAGAGGAGGAGGGCGAGGAAGTAGCTGTAGGGAGAGGGTTGTGGGAAGATTACAACGAGGGTGGAACTCTGAGAGCCGAGATGAGCTTACGAGACAGTGGATGGTCACCGGAGCAAGGGCAGTACGGAGCAGCGGATTGGATGAAGCACCCCAGCAGCAGGTTGATAGCAATGAATCGAGATGAGGTGGACGAGGAAGAGGAGGGAGAGGAGGGAGAGGAGGGTGAAAGAGAGGAGGGTGAAGGAGAGGAAGAGGAAGGAGAGGAGGGAGAGGAGGAGGAGAGGCAGGGCTTCATCCTGAGCAGCGGAGGTGTGGAAATGGAGGGTGCTGGGTGGCGGGAAGGGGGTTTCCAGGAATCTTCCGAGCCAATGCAAGATTCAAAACTAGGTGATACTCCGGATGGAAGCTTCCAGGAAAATGAGAACGACGGAGGAGGGTTTGGGATGGATAGGAGGCTATTGATGGGTGCTCCTTCGCTCAACCCCAATGCAGTGTTTGAAACGCCCCAGCAGCAAAGGGCGCTCATAGGAGCCCCTTCTCTCAACCCTAACGCAGATTTCGAGACTCCTCAGAAAAGGGTTTTGATGGGAGCTCCTTCGCTCAATCCTGATGCAGTTTTTGAGGTGCCCCAGCAGAGGGAGCTTATAGGGGCGCCGTCCCTTAACCCTGACGCGGGCTCACAGGCGTTTTGGGCGAGTTTGAAGGAGGGGAGAGGGGCGGATGTGTGGCATAGGGAGGCGGAGACGATTGCGGAAGAGGGGGATGGGGGAGAGGGAGGGGAAGGGGAAGAGGATGGGGAGGGGGAGGAGGGGGATGGGGCGAGTGGTGTGTTTGATCTGGCGCAAGGGCTGATGATGCAGGGAGAGGGGGGAGGTGTGGAAGAAGGAGGAGGGTTCGGTTTTGATGTGGGGGAGAGGGAGGAGGGAAACTGGGATGGAGGAGCAGCAGGGTACGAGGTTGGTGGCAGCAGGAGTATGGGGCGAGACATGGGTGTTGGTGGTCCGTGGGAGTCAGTGCGAGAAGCAGAGAGGGAAATGGATTCAGTATGCAGCAGCAGCAGCACTGCAATGCTGTTCAGAGGGAGTCAGAGCCTGGGAGCACCG